GAAGAGGAATGACTGCAGATCACAAATCTGAGTGGAGTGCTTAACTTTGGAGCATTAAATTTCTTGTAATATTATTAACTTTGCTCTTTTGCTGCAAAAATAGAAATTCCAGACCATATGGATTCTTGTCTGGGGCTAAAAGAGCCCTTGCTTATGCATGTAAGTTGTGGACCTTTAACTAGATAAGCCAATAAAGGAAAATATGAAACACATTTTGCCAGTCTATTTCAAAGTAGTTGTCTGGCCATGGAGGAAAGTATAAACTGGAAATTCCCCACTCACCTCTCAAATTCTGGCAGAAAGCATTTTCTACCTGAGGGAATGGTTCTTCAACAAGGTCCTTGTGCTACTTTGCCTTGATGGTGATGAGAGCTATCCTGACTATCTGCTCTTGAATCTAATTTGGAAGAGACCCTCTACATACCCAATGAGGGCAAGTACTGAAAAATGCTCATCTTGGAAGTAAGATGTTACTCTTGCTGTTCTGTGGGCCTCATACTGCTATACAGTATGGGCAGCTGGAAAGGTATGACAGAGGATACAGAACCCCCAGTGCAAGCTGAGATCTCTAGGCAAAATTTAGCTCAGGGCTCCAAAAAAGATTTTATTGAGCAAGCACAAATCAAGTTTTTTCAAAGGTACAACCTGACCAGATCAAGGCTAGAGAAAGCACCATCTGGCAAAAGAGCAATCTACCTGCCACATCAATAACTTTTCTAGAAAGCATGCAGATCTTCTCAATAACAACCAAGAATGTTTATTCTCCTGTACATATTCCCAGAAAAGGAAGACCTACTTGAGCTTAAACTTTAGATACATATCAGCCCTAACCAGATACATAACACAGAATATTTCTCCTCCTCAAGATGTGAAGTTTCTGGCAACTGAAAACAGCATCTCAGAGAACAGTGGCAGTCATATTAGTAGCATGACATAGTTGAAGAAACTACTCTTTCAAATAAAGGTTTTTCACAACTTGCCACTGGCAAAGTTTGTGTATTTGAATGAAATTTGTGATACACAATTTACAATACATAAGGAAAAAAGTGAAGAGTTAGATACTGAAGTATATCTCAAAATAAGTTTAAGCAAAGAAAAAATGACAGCTTTTATGAAACTAGACCTTGTATATGCTGATGCAGAGACAAGAAATCACCAGATTCACGGTCCACATTAATCAAGTGTTCAACTGGCAATGTATTCTATTTTCATCAATATTCTCTGTGCAGCCTTAATACATAATAGTCTTTCACATAGACAGAAAATAAGCATTTTCCCTATAAAGAAATATAGACTCTTTGCACAGAATTTGCTCCAAATTTCTCAAACAAGAGTTAACTCTGTCCTCAGGAGATCTAGTCTTTTTATTTCAACTTGCATAGATTTTTAAGCCATTAGAAATCTCTTATCCATTCTAGAATAGCAATTAATTTTTTGTTAAAATATATCAAGTGTCCCTCAGAATACATTTGCACAAATATCTTGTAAATATTTTTAGCCAGCTGAGAGAGCACTGATTAAAAACCAGGTCATAGTGATTCTCACAGATCTGGCCACATCAACTGAGATCTCAAACGTAAACTGTCTGAAATTCGTCTTTATAATTATGACAAAAAAGTCTGGACTTACTCTATGATTGTGTAATTAGGGAAGATTCAAGCCAGGCTATGCACTGACACCCAAGAAAAATCAAGACATACTGTTTTGTGAAGCAGCAGTTACTTTCCTCCTTCTGAAATTAACAGTCAAGGAGTCAAAGTAGACAGAAAAAAGAATGCGGGAAAGGGCAGAAAGGCCTGTGAGGGCTGATTAACTGACAAGATATAAAGAACTTGATTCTTGTGAATTTGCAGCTGGTAAGTCATTCTAGTAAGCCTATTTCTCCACAATAACCAACACAGCACTAATAAATTACTCTTGCTCCTTTAAATTTTAAAGGAGCAAGAGTAATTTATTAGTGTGGTACAGAATGGTATAAACAGGATTTAGTGGTAATTGCCTCAGAAAGGCCAAGAGTTTATAGGCATCAGAACTGAAATATTCTTTTCTTCTCAGAGAGTTAAACTGTCATGGCAGAATTTAGACAAAAGCATGTGGTGGCATAATGTAGAGAAATTTGACCCATGACTGTGTTTCTTCACAGTCACAAAGTACAGAATACTAGTAACTATCACACACGTCAGATGGTGAGGAAGAGGTGTTACCCTGGCTCCTCCACTTGGCTCCCCTGTATGCAGAGTGTCATTCTGATGGACGCCCTTCCACACAACAGAGTCCACAGCTAAAACCCTCAGGTCACACTTCTTCATACACTGAAGATAAAAGATGTGACAACAACAGACAGTCCTCTCCAGTCCTGCACTGGGGCAAAGACTAACTTTCATTTACAAACAACAACAACATGATATGAACCTGCCTGAAAACACAAAAACTAATCTGGATACATGGAAATGCAATTAGAATAGAACCCTTATTGTTCAGAAAGGCTGAATGCCTGGAAAATAAATGTATTTTGTTTAAATTCTGTCCTTAGTTACAATGCCACCTGGACAAAAGTTTAGCTAAATTAAACAGTCTGAAGAAACATCTGTATTATGCAGCAGTACCTCCAGAATATGCCAACAGCACCACTCTGTGGATTAACAGTGAATGTTCTGTAAACTCACAAATTGCCTTTCCAAGCCTTAGATCATTCATGCTAAAGAAAAATGCAAATACATTTATATATAATACATGTACTGTAAGACTGTTGCAGTTGTATAAACCTGGCATCACTAGAATTTAATGAACTACCTTATTTTTACAGCAGTGCAATTGAGAGTATAAACTGGCTTGCTCAGGTCATGGATGTGGCATGCCTTTTCCCATAATTTCTTCCAGTATCAGTAGGAGAGGTTGCATGTGCTGAATTCATAACAGATGCCTTACACTGTACCAAAATGAGAACTTTACTCTGAATCCCATCATAGAGTTGCACCTGAAGCTTCTCATTAGCGGTAGCTGCAGCAGAATCCATGAAAGGCAGATCAAAGTACAATAGGAAATCAGCAAATTTAAATACTTAAGTCAATCTTCAACTGAATTCCCTGGGTCTGCAAAATAGTGGGCTAAAAGGAGCTTTGCTTCCAGGTCTGGGAAGAAATCAGGGCTGAGACTGGGGAATTAAACTGTGGTGGACCATAGAGCTCCATCTTAGGGCCCATGCTCTTCAACATCTTGGACAAAGGACTGGAAGATATACTAAGTTCACAGATGATACAAAACTGGGAGGAGATGTTGACTCCCCTGAGAGCAGGGAGGCCCTGCAGAGACACCTCAACAAATTAGAGATCCTGGGAAATTACCAACCGTACGGAGTTCAACAGAGGAAAGTGCTGATTCTGCATCTGGGATGGGGCAACCCTGGATGTATGGACAGACTGGGAATGAGATGCTGCAAGCAGTGCCATGGAAAGGGACCTGGGGGTCCTGGTCATGAGTCAGCAGTGCCCTGGCAGCCAGGAGAGCCAACCCTGTCATGGGGCGCACCAGGCACAGCATCGCCAGCTGGGCAAGGGAGGGGATTTTACCACTCTGTTCTGCACTGGGGTGGCCTCACCTTGAGTGCTGGGGGTAGTTTTGAGTGCCACAACATGAGAAAGACATTAAAGGTAATTATTAATTTAAGGTTAACAGGCCTTAAGGGGAAGCCATACAAGGAGTGGGTGCAATCACTTGGTCTGCTCAGCCTGGAGGACACTGAGGACAGACCTCACTGCAGTTACAACTTCCTTAAGAGGAGAAGAGGGGTAGGCACTGATCTCTTCTCTGTGGTGACCAGTGACAGGACTTGAGGGAATGGCCTGAAGTTGTATCAGGGGAAGTTTAGGCTGGATATCAGAGAGAGGTTCTTCATCCAGAGGGTGGTTGGGCACTGGAACAGGATCCCCAGGGAATGGTCATAGTACTCAGTGCTCTCAAGCAAACGGTGTGAGTTCTGGGGCTGGTCCTGTGCAGGGCCAGTTGTATTCAATGATCCTTGTGGGTCCCTTCCAGTTTATTCTGTGTTTCCATGAACATAAAGAACTACAAAATTTTCTGTTGAGACTGACTCCTCCCACACTGGACACTCCAGACTGTCAGCCAGCTGTCTGGACTCAAGATAGAGTTGAACAGATGTCAGCCAGTAATCCCACCTGACAGAGCTCAGTGATACATAAGAAGTATTTCCTACTTCCCCATCTCTAGCTACAGCAACTTTAAGTAGTGAGTCCATCCAAAAAGAGTGCAGGGCTGTGTGCTGTCTTGATACTGTCTCTGTGCATCCCATGGTTTATCTTCCACAAAAAAAAAAAAAAAAAAAAAAAAAGGGGCTAGCTACAGTTGTTACAAGGTTGTGCTTTTGCAAACAAATCTTACCACCTGTGCCGTGATGTCACAGAAGGACAGAGTATGCTGAGTTGGAAAGCATCTAACTATCCCTGGCACTGCACAGAGCACCATCCCCAAGAGTCACACCATGTGCCTGACAGCATTGTCCAAATACTTCTTGAACTCTGGCGCTGTGACCATTTCACTGGGGAGCCTGTCCCAGTGCCCAACCACCCTCTGGGTGAAAAATCATTTCCTAATACCCAACCTAAACCTCCCCTGACACAGCTTCAGGCCATTCCCTCAGGTTCTGCTACTGGTCATCAGTCAGGCTTGAGCATCTTGAGAAAACAGTGCAAAAATAATTGTACCTGAGCATGCCTGAATTCTGGTTGTCTATCAAATGCAGCGTATTACTCATGTATTATTTAAGGAGTGATTATCTCCAGGGCTCTCAAGATCACAGGCAAAAATGACAGGAGGGAAAAGCCACTCTACCATTAGATCACACATGGCCTATTCGTTTCTGTCTGTAAGACTGAAGGAAACAGGCAAAAAACTCAAAACCAAAAATCAAAACCAAAACAACAACAACAACAAACCCCACCGGAAAAACCCACCACCGGTACTTTGTTTAAATTGTTAATTACTGTTCTCTCGGCTGAGCTTTTCCCCGACACAAACGACTCCCCTCAGCTGGCTCAGGCGCGCGCTGCTCCGGGCGGCGCGGAGCGAAGAGGGAGGAGGGAGGGCAGCAAGTGCTGCGTGGGCCGCCCTTCGCCCCGCGCCGTCCGGAGCGCCCTTCGCCTGGGGCAGGTGCTTGTCAGCTACATAGCAGTCCCCCGACTCCCTCCTCACGGCAGCGCAGTCTAAGCCTGTCAGGAGGGTCTGCGAGCGCCCACGCCGGCACCGCTCCCTCCCTCTTCGCAGCTCGCCCGCCGCCATTTTAAGGCCCCTGAGGAGAGCTGAGGAAGCCGCTGCGGCCCTCGCCCTGCCCTCACAGGGCGAGCGGACGCGTCACCGGCTTCGGGGCTGCGGTGGCCGGGTTTTTGTTCCCGAATTCTGGCTTGGTTGTTAAAATTAAATAGTGTTATTTCTTGTAGTGGCGCCTGTCCGGCGTTAGTGTCTGGCCTGAAGGCAGCAGTCAGTTCCTCACGGCAGGTTGCCTGAGGAGGGCGGCACGTTTTCCATTGTGCTGATGTCATGTTTGGCGTTCCTTCCAGTTTTCGCAGTTTCTTAATAAAACGGGAAGCAGGGGGAGAGCACGGGGATGTAGCAGCTTGAATTTCTTCGTGTCAATCAGCCTTCAGGTTCTTTTTTAGATCTTCTCTGCACTCTTTCCTGTTCAGTATCAGAACAAGAATAATACTGTTCAGGATGAATACAGAAGGAAAGTTTGCAAATGTAGTAAGAGGCTATTTCCCTCCTCCTCCTTCCGTGAAATGGACAACTCAAAAAGGAAAATTTTTTATTTTTGCAGATTTGTTGTAATACAATAATATGTTCAATTGATATTTGGAGAGGAATGTGAAACACGAGGGAGAAGGCCTCCCCCTACTCTCCTGAAATAAATGGATTTTAAAATTGGCCTTCCTTATGTAGACAGGCAATTTCATTGACCAGGCCAAGTGTAATTACTCTAGATGAAATGGCTAGTTGTTCTCAGGTACCTAAGGAAGGAGGGCTAATAAAGTCAGTGAAACCTACCTTGTCTTTGTATAAGATTTTTCTTTTTTTCCAGAGAGTTTCAGACTACTTAGTCTATACATCATGTGTATGCAGAAGCCATGCGACCAACCAAACATGAAAATCTGTGGTAAGGTCTTAAACATCATCTGAGTTACAGACTTACTGAACATTGCTATTAAAGTTCAGCTACTCTTAGCCATTCACAAAGCACCTGTTGTGCATAATAAGTACCTGCAAGTGGCAAGGCAAACCAGAAAACCATTTCCTGTTAGCATGCAACCTGCAATGCCTGGGCTAGAAATCTCAAGTAGGCTGTGTAAAGATCAGTTTCAGTGAATGGCTCAACCAAGTCATCTTGAAAACTCATCTGTAATTTCTGACCCATATCCCTCTTCTGTTACCTTGCCACAATGTCCAAGTTCTTCCTTTGCTTTTAGTGTTAAAACCCCAAGTGTATTCTATTCTACTTTCCACACCACCATTTCTTACAGCCTCTAATTAAAGATCCCTCTGAATAAAGCCTTCTGCTTGAACAGTTAGGAGTGCCCCTCTGAAAGGCCTCTTTTGTGAGTGACCATCTTGTGGAACACAACAAAGACAAGGCGCTACAGAAAAGACACTGTTTTACTTTGTAGCCACTTCACTTGTCTCTGTCTCAAATTAATGAGCACTACTCTGTTTTCAAGTGTAATAACACTTCGGTGAGGTGAATGGAGTTTTCAGAGAGTAAAACTGCAGCACACCCTCCCACCATCCTTGAGCAACAAAGGAGACTACAGAAAGTGGTCATTAGAGGTAGTAGGTGATCAGGGGTGAGGTGGAACTCAGGTGAATGGGACTGCAATTCGCACACACAATCCCCAGCCTCCTGAAGTACTAGCATTTCTGTTATACATTATTTTGAAAAAGGTTCAGAGTGATCTTCGCATTGGTAAATTATAAATTAAATACCGTTTACAGTTAATTTCCCTGAAAGACCCACACATTCTAATCCATGGGATTTTTACTTGATAATCATTTCCTGATGACTGTTTTTTGTTCTGCCTATGCATAAAATTTCCCCTGTATCCTTGAGCACCTTAGCATACAAACATCTGCATCCATGGAGAAGAGGCTGCATCTACCTGGGTGCATATGCTGGTTTCCATATTAGAGCTGCTGAGTTTTCTTCATGAATTTATTGCTCTTGAAAACAGTGCTACAGCAATGTGCAGGCAGAGACTATATTTAAGACTGCTGAAATCCAAGGCCTACATCTATAGGGTTGTACAGGTCAATACCTTATGTTTGTAGCATAAGCGTCATAGAAACAAGTTGCCCTGGAGATACGCCAGCTTCTCTAATGAGCGTTCACCCGTGGAGCAGCTCTTTTGGAACCCTCTTGAGAATAATTCTCTTCTTTCTGTTGCCATCATTCTTCATGTCTTGCTCACAGAAGCTAATGTGGGTATAGCACAGTGAGTACTGAAATTTTCATTCATCCCAAATGCAATCATCTCTGTATTCTCTTTGAGTAAATCTCCAGGGATGCATAAGTTCACCATAATTTGCATTTACTCATGAACAGCATCCCTGTAGGGTTATTGAAATTGCATGTTATATTATTTGAGTCATCATAGCTCTAGCTGAAGGCCACAAAACTCAAGAGATTGCGTGGTATTGACTCTTGGCCTTCCTGCCTTGTGTCAAATTTTGCTGTTGAATATATAAAGTGCAACAACTTTTGAATACAAATACAAATTACAGTCCTCCTTCTCAGATATAAATAAGAACAGGAACTGACCTACTCATGTTATTGTCATGTCTTCCATGTGCAAGTAACCTTTTGGACAGGAAAAATCATACATGTGGAGTATAAACTCTTCTCTGAGGCTTTGTTTCTGTTTCAGTGTGACTACCCATGGTGCACTGATTCAATCTGAGCATATGACTGCAGGATGTTTCATATCAAGTCAATGGTAATTCTGGAGTAAATTTAGTTCTAGCAGGACCAGGTTTTGAAGAATGTCACTCTCCATGAAGGAGACAGAAAACAGGTATGGTTGTATGGTCTAAAGCAACCAGTGTAACTGATGAGTCTGCATCCTGAGTGCTCCTTCTTGTCCCACTGATGGCAGAAAACATCATTGACAGAAATCAAGCTGGATCTTTTTTCACCTCGGAAAATTAAAAGGAAACTAATGAGCCTGCTGACAGATAACCTGTGAAGAATGAGAATAGTGAGACACAGCATATTAATTATTCAATATAAACTGTTCGCCCTGCTCTTCTAGCAGACCCTCTCTTCTCCTCCTACTGTTCTTTTTTCTCTACCTGCATCTGCCTGAAGTCCTGACGGGACAGTGGTACAACTGACCCCACTGAAACATTTTCCATCCACCTGTGCTTGTTGCAGTCATGGTTTAACATTCAGTATATTCATAGTTCAGCATTTTTTGTGCTTGTCTAGTGTCTACAAAGGCAAGATACTGAGAAATGTCGAAAATAGAAGAGCACAACTTCAGGGAGTGGGGGGAAGTGGTGTGGAATAGGATCACCTGTGTCAAGATGCAGCTGTCAAAAACTTGTGGAGCCTGATCAAGCAGTACATTTAAACCCATACATGTGTCCCAAGAATTTCAGGTGCATAAGCTGTGTGATTATGGCTTTGTTATATAATTAAGGGTGTATTGGATTATTTAACCTCTTCATAATCCAATAAAGAAAAAAAAATAAAAGTTTTGGTAAATCTTTGGCATTAGAAAAACTCCTGCAACCTAGCTGTTTTTCTCAAAAAGCTCTTTACAGTGACAGATGCTTATGTGTTGTAAGTGTTCCCTGAAGGCCATTACTCATCAGCACAGAGTTCAGCATAGTCAAATGAGAGACTCACAGTTTGGAACTCTTTCTGAAAAATGTTGCATGATCATCTCTCCCCTTGACCAGTTAATATAACTGAACCCAGTCATTGCTCTGTTGCTGCCTGTTATTGCCTACTTGCCCTTATCAGTTGTGCATGACATTAAAGAGTATATGAACTGACAACAAATGTGGGTGTGTGTCTCTTCAGCAGTATCACTTGAATGAGCTACTCTGGACATAAGACTTCTGTTTATCTTCCGAGTACCGATATTTTGTGGTCTCGCTGCATCTCATGGTGCAATTTCATGGTTTGTGGCTACAAATAACTTGTTTTTACTTCTCCCTGTGAAGCCAGTCAGCCCTAAGTTTGCATGTTACAAGATGAACTCTGGCTTGAATGTGATTATTACTTGTACCAGGGGAGATACCAGTGTACACTACAATTGTGAAAGTGACAGATCGCTGGGTGATGAACAAAGACTTGCCTCTAAATTGCTAGTTGCACCAGGTGTATTTAAGATCACTACAAGTTGGTTGTTTGGTTTTGTTTTTTTGTTTTTTTTTTTTTAAATCTCAGAGGTTCTAAATCTCTGAATAAAATCAAAGTGGCCGTATTGATTTCTCCAGTATTACAGCAGTTTCAGAAGAAGATTTCTCAGACTATTTCCCTGTTTCTAGGCAACCTTGCTGAGGAGAAAGAAAAATTGAACATTGTGCTAGCAGATTGACATAAAACTTTGACAGCTATTTTTAACAAATGTGAATCTAAAATACTGCACCAAACAGCTTCATTCAAAATCTGTGATCTCGGTTACTATAATACCTCTTATTTATTTATTTTCACTTTTGCCTGACACACACAATCCACAGATAGCAATCCAGATTTACAATTATTGGCAGAGTGATATGGGCAGACATGCTACTTGTTAAAAAAATATCTCTGACAGTTTTTTCCTCAAATTGGGAATAATGTGAGCTAAAAAGACAAATTGATTGCGGACCTGAAGAAAGCTAAGATAAAGTATGTCTGGAGATAACAGAAATATGAAATTTAGGGGTTTTTCTCTTTCATAGATGCTCTGGAGCTCAGTGTGATCAGTCATAGGTAGAGATAGGAGAACAACGGTAAATCCATTGTCAAGATCAAACAGAAGTCCTGCTTCCCTCCAACACAGAACAAA